CATAGAAAGTTAAAATATCAATGTTTAATTTCTTAATATTTGAATTTATATATATATAATATAATTAATATATAAATAAATAATATAAATAATATAATTATATATCATATAGGAACGTTTAAAAAAGTTAGAAAATGAACGTGGAACATTACGTATGGAAGTATCAGTTTTATCCGAACAAGTAGATGCACAATCTAGTAAAATCCAAGAATTGGAAAATATGCTTAGAGAAAAGAAAGATTCTCTCAGAAGAATGGAAGAGGCATTACAAAAAGTAATTTTTTTATTTTATATTTTTTATTTTATATTTTATATTATATATTTATTTTTTTATTCCTTCAATGATTTAAATTTTAGGAAGTACTTTCAAGAAGTGCTTTGGAAACACAAAAATTAGAACTTTTGAGTTCTTTATCAGAAATGAAACTTAGACAAGCAAGTTTAGAACATGAAAATCTTGCACTTCGTAATACAAGTCCTATATCAAATGTAAGTCCTATATCAAATGTGTGAATGTATGTAAAATTGGATATTTTTTTATAAATGAAATATATATGTATATAGTTAAATTTGCAATAAAAATGAAAGAATATATTATTATTACTGATTTATTATAGGGAGAAAAATTTGGAAGGCATACCACTCAATATAGTAGTCTTCCTAGGCCACCGAGTTCTTCAAAGAAAGGTGTAGTGTTCGGTAAGGTACCCAGTTTAGTTTCTGGAGCACACACAACAGTACCATTGGCCATTAAAGGAGCCTCCGCGAGATGCCTGTCTGCGCCTACTCTAGGTTGCGATTGATTCTTCATCTAAGCATGCATTTTTAAATGTTTTCAATAATATATGACAGGCAATCGTGGCTAATAATTTTTAATTTAGTCTATGTCAACATTGAATTAATTAAATTTTATGTTGATTTTTGCATGAAAATTTTGATTTTGTCTTTTTTTTTTAACTTATTCTCCTCATACATAATAATATTATGTATTTCAGACATTAATATATTTTAAAAAATTATTATTTATTTGCTTTTTTTTTATATTTGAATTATGACATTTGCAACATTTTAATTTTTGAATTTAATTTGGTGCAATAAAATTTATTCATTATTTATTTTTTTGTTTTAGCTGAAAAAGAAAAAACTATCATAGGAGATTCAAATTCTCGAATAGCATCGATTGCTCAAAAATCTTTGATGGAACTTTCAATGGAAGAAATTGAAGATTGGCTCGCAAATTTAGGATTAGAATGTTACGCGGGCGAATTGAGACGATGGGGTGCTACTGGATCAAAATTATTAGACTGCTCACAACAACAATTAGAAAAAGAATTAGAAATTAAAAATGTTCTTCATAGGAAGAAATTATTATATGCAATAGAATCCGAAAAATTTGATGGAGCTGAATTTCTTGGATCAGATAAGGTATTTTTTATAATTTTATAAATATATATTATATAATATCAATTATTATATATACTATATAATATTAAATACATTATATATATAACTTATAATGAGATATCATGAGATTAAAATATTTTTTACAATTTTATTATCTTATTATTATTTTGTAATTTATATAATGACATAAATATTTATAAAATTATAGATGGATAATACTGCAGTTTTACGATGGTTAGATGATATTGGATTACCACAGCATAAAGAAGCTTTCCAAAATGGTAAAGTTGATGGGAGAATGTTACATCGACTTACCACTGAAGATCTTTTAAATCTTGGAGTTACTGCACAATTACATGCTGCAAGTCTTAGACGAGGAATTCAGGTAACAACTTATTTATTTTAAATATTATAATATCTATAAATTAAATATAATATAATCATATTTCAATATATAATAATATATATAATAATATATAATATATAATATATATAATATATATAATATAT